TAACATTAATAAATAATGCAATATTTGATTTTTCTATTGTTTTTCCATATACATAGGATGCAAAACTGAGAACATGTGAACTTTTGAAAGTAGCTGCAACACATAGTACTGATGCACATAAAATTGGTGGTGCCTTTGGTGATGAAGATGCTCATTACTTTTTAGATTTGGACATGGCTGTGTTAGGTTCTTCTCCAGAAACTTATGCAGAATACAGAGAAAGAATACGTGGAGAGTACTCTTTCCTTAGTGAGCCAATGTATACTGCATTGCGTTTAAAGGTAACAATAAGTCCCAATATATCACATAAATGTATTTATTTCTATGAAATAATATTTATGAATATTATTTTTTTTTCTATGAACTAGGTGCTGCAAGACTTTGTGCAAATTCCAAATATTTTTGCCACAAAAGAATTTCGTGAAAAATATGAAGAGCAAGCACGACAAAATATTCAAGCTGAGGTTGAATTGTTGTCTTAGAATAATTAATGAATTTTATGCATGAAAAGAAGTATCTTTATAAACATTTTGTTATCAGACATGTTCATTATTCAATTATGACAACAGAGTAAGGTTCCAAATGACACAGTATCGTTTACTGTGCTAGTAGATCTTGATCTTCATATAGATTAAAGTAGCACAACATATATTTTGTGTATTAGTATTTAAAGTGATCTGTGTCAAATGACATCATACAAAAATGTAATATATTATTAGATACAATGAGATACATTCATGTCCTACATTTAGCATAAAAATCCTTTCATTTACTCTGTTTCATTAAATAAAGATAGTTCTCATAATGAAGTAAATTAAAAAGCTTAGACATGTTGGAAATGCTAAGACTCAGACATGAATGAATACTCTTCTGCATTTGTATTACATTAAGATCTGTTTATTGGTTCAATCTTTTTTCTATCATACAATATCTTTGCTTAGAAAATAAAATTGAATTTGGTTTCGTAATGCTTTTATACTAACAATACTTAAATAAATTTTTTACACAGTGGTATATATATTCATATCTTAGTTGTTGCTACTAATAATAAAAGTTACACATGTATAACATTTGTAACTCATATTAACAAATTTATATATGTTCAGCTAATGGAAATATTTTAAATAATGTTACACTGAATTAAATATTAATTAAATTTGCAATTGTAAGATCATCTTAAAGTAAAATGAAGCCAAAGAATTGTCAATCTGTCACATATACAATTTTGTTTTACTCAAATAACTCAATTAAATGTAATTGTTTAAATATGTTATACGATATTAAAAAATACATGAACATTTATGTATTATTTAATACCACGTATCTATTGCTTTATAATATTAAAACGATGTTTGATTGTTTAACTAAATATAACCACCTTACAGTTTGTTAGTATTAAACAACATCATTGTTAAATATAAAACAAAGAAACTGCATTTTGCCTTTTGTCTTTGGTGTGATTGCTACATTCTTGGATACAAAATTACCAACTCCTGGCAGAGTTATCAATGTTACAGTAAATAAATTTACATCATCATATACAGTAAATAATATACATCAGTTTCTGAACTACACTTGCGTAATTTAATAGAATTTCATCAGAAATATAAAATACAATAGATATTTCAACACATTCAACTAACCTTGGTACCCCATCGGCTCCCCTGCAATTCACATTTTATCTCATCTCGAAGAAATCCATAGATAACTCTTGCTGAACTCACAACTCACTTAACTATCACAAATATTAACGAAAAACAACGAACATTTTGCACTAATTTACACTAATTAATTCCCGTCACCCGGATAACGTTACACGCGACGACGTTAAAAGGCGCGATTTCTAAATATTTCAAGCGCGTCATGCTTCGATATTTTAAATCAGTTCGATATATCGCATAGATCGATATCGATTTGAATGTTCTCTGCGCATGCGCACTGCTATTATAAGAAAGATTTAAAAACTTTAATGCAGAAATTCCTATAGATATTCACAGATTTGTTTAGAAATTTTATTGAATATCTATTTTTAAAGGGACATTTCGTATGAAAAACAATACTAACATTATTATATT